TAGATGTACACTCAGTCATGTCTTACCTCCCTTTATGTCACCACCTGAGCCTAAACGTGCATGGCTTACCATCCATGCTTTCCAAGGTGTTCTTCTTGGGATTTTACAGCTGCTAGGCAAAGAGTCACACTCGAACTAGCGCAAGAAAAAAGTGGAGGACTTAGGAAGCAGCCATGGATTTATGAGAATGGAGACTCAAGTGGGGCCCTGCAGGCTCCTTGCCTGCACCTTTGCTTCTCACTCACAGCAGTTCTGGCCTGGAACCAACTTCCTCCCAGGTCCATCATTGCCTCAACTGTGAGAGGCTTCTCATTCTCTCCTTGCAGTATCACACCATCTTCCTCCACATTCCTACTACTTGACCTCTCAGTTGTCCCGCTCTGAACTCCCGAGAGAGGAACTTGGGTCAGCATGTATTTTCAAGCCTGATGAGCTACACCACAGTGGTTCTCAAGCTGACACAGGCCATGCTGAGTAGGTACGGAAATATGGCCCAAACATCTGTGACTAGACAGAGTGAGCAGCGATTGTCTGCTATCTACTTCTTGCTGCCCCATAGCTATTGTCTAGTTTCTGAAACCTGAGCCCTTTTCCTTGGTGCTGACCACTGTCCTCTTACTGTACTGTGTGATTGCCCCTCCATGCTTTTCAAAGCCTGGCTCTTTTCCCAGTTCTCTTGACTCTTTCAATACTTTCTTCTTCTGCAAAATCATAGGCTTCTACAGGTTTGTATGCAGTCAGACACCAGGACTTCTTAATCTAGCCTGAGGAGCCTTATGGGTGAAAGGTGGAAGGTTCATGAGCACGAAAGAAGAAAAGAATCCCAACTTTATATTTTCACTGAGTGCTAACCAAGTCACCAAGTCCTTCTTTTATGAATGCAATAAGCCACTGTACTAGTAACATTCACGTTTCACTACTAATAGAAATCATAGGTATTTCATGTTTTCCAGTTGTAAATGACTTAAAAGTTTTCTTTCCATTACTACTTCAAATCATGGTGACTATCTGAGCTACCACTAGGCCTTGGTATTTAACGTATTTACAAAGAAGCAAACACCATATCAAATGCGATTAATATTT